TAGATAGATAGATAGATAGATAGATAGATAGATAGATAGATAGATAGACAGACAAACAGACAGACAGACAGACAGACAGACAGACAGACAGACAGATATGGAGATAATAAATTCAACAAATAAAAAAAATTACCACCCTGATTTGAATTATGAACAGTTCCCTGTTTAGAGGTCCCATAAATAGATTGAGTCTCTGGAACTTAGGAACTCAAAATGACACTCTTCTTTTTGTGATTATTTTTTCATATTTCGTTCTAATGTCTGAATTCAACAGCTTGCTCTATCTTTCTTTCTTTTTTTCTTTTTTCTTTCTTTCTTTCTTTCTTTCTTTCTTTCTTTCTTTCTTTCTTTCTTTCTTTCTTTCTTTCTTTCTTTCTTTCTTTCTTTCTTTCTGTTTCCCTTTCCCTTTCTCTTTCTCTTTCTCTTTCTCTGTTTGCTGTTCAATGGATGGAAAGTAATCAAGGAGAGAAGCAACTTTGAATTAAGGAGAAATTTCCCAAGAGACAATTTAACCAATGGAACAAGTTGCCTCCAGGAGGTTAAACTGGAGGTTTTTAAGAGAATAGATTAAATTGTCTGAAATGGTATAGGATCTCCTGCTTATGCAGGGGATCTGCAAGGTCCTTTCCAATTCTTTATTCTGTTATAGTGTACATCAGAAAGTGGTTTAAATCACATGATGTTTTTGAAGACTTATTTGCATAAAGTTGTCACGTGCAACATAACTTTAAATCTTCTGTGGTGCCCCTGTTGGAGTATGAATCCAAGGAGGAAGTCGAACATCTGAAAGGGAATGGGAGTGTGGCTCTGTTGGCTGTGGAGGAAACTGGGGAAGGGCAAAGTCCAGCTGGGCAGAGAAAGGGAGAGGTAGAACAAGGGAGAGGGAGTTCAGAGGCAGACCCAAACCTACCTCTTCATCCTAGGACATGCAGGGAGGAACGGAGAAGAGAGCAACATGGGTTGCATGACTTACAGGGGAAGAAAGGGCCCTGATTCCCTTCATTAGCCACACCTGGGAAGGGAGTTTAAAAGAGATGCATGCTGAATGCAGCATTTGCTGGAAACAAATGTGAGTTTATCTTGTGTTGACTTTGCTTATCTGTGTTCCTGGAGTCTTCCCAGCCGTGTTGAGTTATTGCCATGCCTTCACATCTGGAATTCTTGTTCCTGCCCTGTCAAACTAATTACCTCAGTTTGCCTTGATTGGACTTATAGTTACAGTTTTTGTTGACCATGTTTTGGACTTGATTCTCTGCAGCCAAAGGCTGTTCCTGGGAGAGTTTTTCTCCAGCCAGAAGGTAACCAGGACATTGGGGGTGAAGTTGGAGCTAATAAAGGGACTCCTACTGATTATCTGACTGTGTTGCCTTTGTGCCACAACCCAGGCCATCACATCTTCTGTTTTCATAGAGCATTTTAATAGGTTTAGGTTAAGCCTTTTTTTGTGTGTGTGACCTTCCCCTCAAAAAATGTAAAATTGAAAGTGATGGTACTACTGATAGAAGAGGATATTTGTAACTCAAAATTGAACTGTGGGGTCCTCGGTGCTCTCTGAGCTTCGTGGTTTTCTTGCAAACGTTTCAATATTCAAGCGAAGTAAAACATCATCGCTGCTAGAAGGGAGTGGGGTTTGCACTGATGATGTTCCCTAGTTTGGTAATGAAACGTCTACAAACCACCAAGCTCGGAGAACACCAAGGACCCCAATAAATATGGTACTTGTTAAGAGAATTACAGCTTTTTTAGAGTTCTTTTCCAAAACGTTACTTACATCATTCAGATCTTCTTTTGCATTGTAGTAGACAATATCACTCGTCTGTAAAAGAAGGAAGGGAGGGGAAAAGAAGAAGTAGGATGAATCTTTAAATATTAACAGTTCAAAGAAGTGTTCCTGAATTTTGGAATGAATTGTAACTTCTCATTTCTCAGCAAAGGTTCCCTTTAAACGGCATGTGAATATGCATGGAAAGCAATTTTCTTTTTGCTTACCTGGTCTCACCACTTATTATTAACTTCTTAACATCAGCGATTAAAATATGCTGTGCTGTAGTTTAAGGGGAAAGTGAATGTATGACAACAATTTAACAAGGGCAGAAAGACTAGGTACTAATGTCAATCTATAAAGCCATAGGAAGACCATACCTAGAGTACTGCATCCAGTTTTGGACACCACACTATAAAAAAGATGGTGAGATTCTAAAAAAAGTGCAGAGGAGAGCAACCAGGATGATGAGGGGACTGGAGACTAAAACATATGAAGAACGGTTGTAGAAACTGGGCCTGGCTAGTCTAGAGAAGAGAAGGACCAGGGGAGACATGATAGCAGTCTTCCAATATTTGAGGGGCTGCCACAGAGAGGAAGGAGTGAAGCTATTCTCCAAAGCACCTGAAGGCCAGACAAAGAATAATGGATGGAAACTGAACAAGGAGAGATTCAACCTGGAAATAAGGAGAAACTTTCTGACAGGGAGAACAATCAACCCAAGGAATAGAACTTGCCCTCAGAAGTTGTGGGAGCTTCATCACTTGAGACTTTCAAGAAGAGATTGGACTGCCATCTGTTAGAAATGGTATCGGGTCCCCCACTTGGGCGGGGATGGTGGTGGACCAGATGACCTACAAGGTCCCTTCCAACTCTGATTATCTGTTATCTGATTATTAATAGGCGAGTGTTGTAAGATTAGGGAACAGGCAGCCATGAAATCTCTGGTTTGGGCTGTTGTCAAGTACATTGATTAGCATTCAAGAAGCCACCCATTCAGAATCAACTGAATGCTCCTTTAAAGTACAATTCTGAAACCTCAACACAGATAAAAACTCTAAAAGGGCTTAGAAAATTGATATTATCTAGTTGGGTCATGAAACATCTCCAAGAAAACCACCAAACTCAGAGACCACCAAGAACTTTGCTGATTAGGAGTATCAAGGTTCAGCTAAATTTGCTATGAGTGTATATTCTAGTGCAAGGGTGCCAAATTTGCGGCCTGTGGGCTGGGTGCTTCCCACACCCAGTTTAGTAAAGGGGGGAAAAGTCACGATACATCATGTGACGACACTGTGATGCCGCGAGTTAGGTACCGCTGTTATAGTGGCTTTAATTTTACAACGTATGGACAGACCTAACCATGAATGGTGCAGTGGCCTAGAGGTGGAGCTCTCACCTCACAATCAGGAGGCTGTGCGTTCGATCCTAGATAGAGGCAGATATTTCTATCTCTGAGCACACTGAGAATATATCTGCTGAACAAAACTCCGCATTGGCAACAGGAAGGGCATCTGGCCAGTAAACACTCAGCTCCATTCAGTTGCCCAGTCTCCAATCCACAAGGGATTACAGGGTCGTTAAAAGGAGATGATGATAGACAGCCCTAACCATTGTTTCAATTGTAGAAATGTGACTAAGCCAAGTTGGAAACTAACCAAGGAGAGAAGCAACATTATAACTAAGGAGAAATTTCCTGACAGTGAGAACTATTAACCAGTGGAACAACTTGCCTCCAGAAGTTGTAAATGCTCCAACACTGGAAGGTTTTAAGGAGAGATTGGATAACCATTTGTCTGGAGTGTTGTAGGGTTTCCTGCCTCGGCAGGGGGTTGGACTAGAAGATCTCCAAGGGTCCCTTCCAACTCTGTAATTGTATTCTATTCTAAGCCTAAAACCACTAGGGAATTTCTAGAAGCCTGATATTCTGACAAATAAGCCATCAGTAAAGATATTAACAATATTTATAGACAAGGCATATTAACAATATTTATAGACAAAAGAGAAAACTAGCCAAAAAGGAACAAAAAGACTGGCGCACCTCTCCATCAGCAATCAGCAGCCAGATCAGCATAAATTAACTCCAAAATTAATATCAAACCAACAATCCAGTAAACCATACCTCAATCAAGAAACTGCCAAAGAAGCCAACAGCAAACAGCCCAACCAAAGAACCTTTAAGACCAAGGGTGGTATTCAAATGTCTTAACAAGCTGTTCTGTGGGTGTGGCCTAATTTGTGGGTGTGGCTTGGTGGTCATGTGACTGGGTGGGCGTGGCTTGTATGTAAATATTGTAAATATTTATGTAAATATTGAATTTTTTATTTAAAAAAGAGCAACTTTTACCCAAAATCAGGCAAAGCAGGCAGGCACATTGAGTTGCTCACAGAATCACAGATTCACTCTGAGATCTATCTTTCTGCAATCTGCTACCTGAGTCTGTACTGAAAAATAGAAGCTTCAGTCCTAAGGAAGGTTCAGCTCCACTTTTAGATTAGCTAAAAAGCAAGAAATCCAACAATTTCCTGCTTTTTTGCTAATCTAAATCTTCCATCACAGCTGATAGTCAGAACAGCTGATAGTCAGGCGGAAAAAAATGGAAAATTAGCAATTTACCAAAAATTTGGCAAAGGCACAACGCAGGCAAGTTGGATGGCGCACCTGCCAGGTAAGGAGTGAGTGGGCTGGGTGGGGCGGGGCGAGGCCAGGCAGTGGCACAATTTGCCGGTTCTCCAAACTGTGTAGAATCATAACAACCGTTTCTATAGAACTGGTCCAACCAAGTAGAATCCTACCCCTGTTTAAGACCCACACCAACAGGGCAAGCCATCAAAATATAAAACTGACAGCAAACTGTACTCATTAACACTTGATGATGTTACCTAGTTGGGTAGTGAAATGTCTGCAAGAAAACAACCAACTCAGGGAGTACCAAGGAGCCCCCCCCCCCAATTCTATTATGATCAATGGGTAGAAAATACTTTTACTACGGGCAAAGAAACAGCCAGAGAGTATGCTTACGATGCTAATAAAAAACAGTTTGCTCTATTTCAATAATAAAGACCAAATAATAATAAGAGTTAATAGCTAAATAGTTTATTGCAACCAAACACATTGAGTGCAATAAACAAAAGGATAAGTAGTTCATGGTTGAGTATATAAAAACACATAGATGAGAAAGAGATTTACAGAGAAAAAAAACCAATATATTTTTTTATGAACAGCTAAAAGGTGAAAAGCATGCTTGGTTGGATGTTCTCTTGAATTTCACCCAAAATTCTTGCTACATTTTATGTTGGGTGTTTTTTTTTTGTCTCATAACAGAAGGTAAACATTGCATTTTTCTTTGAAAGAGCAACAGCATCTGCATAACATATGCAGTGCAATCATCTTTAGAAAAAGTACAATCTAATCAAACCTAAGCAACATTTTTTTTCTGATTTTCATGGCCACATGCCTTCAGAATAACAGAATAATAGAATACCAGAGTTGGAAGGGACCTTGGAGGTCTTCTAGTCCAACCCCTTGCTCAAGAAGGAGACTCTATACCATTTCAGATAAATGGTTTTCCAATCTCTTCTTAAAAACTTCCAATGATGAAGAAGGAAGGAAGGAAGGAAGGAAGGAAGGAAGGAAGGAAGGAAGGAAGGAAGGAAGGAAGGAAGGAAGGATGGAAAGATAGAGAGAAGGAAGGAAAGAAGGAAGGAAGG